AAAATCCCGCCGCACAGAATGATGGATAGAAGCTCTGAAGAAATTGAAAGCGTATTTTGTAATGAATTTTTTTTAGATTTAAATAAATAAGCTCTGTTTGACTTTGTTTTCCTTCATCGCGATTAACAGATTCTGTGGGTTAAACTGAAATACACGCCCTGGAAGAGCTTCACAATGTACCGTTTCTCACAGAAAATTTTCCATATTTCCCAGTTCTTGACCTTCAACTTGTACGCCTATCCTACAAACCTCTTTTGCAATAAAGTTCACTGCTATTTTAAAACAAATATCAATTTTATAAAAAAGGAATGATTGGAAAATTCTTAAAAGAAAGCTAGTCATTTCCTGGTAGTCGAGGAGGTATAAATTTGTTTTGCCCATTTTTCGAGTTGAGAAAGTTATTCACTTCCTTTTCTTAACAGCATTTCCAAGGACCCTCGAATGAACCTGAAAGACGTTTCCAACTTGAATATTTTCATAATGAAATCCACGCATTTTCCAGTGACATCAAGCACGTTCTTTTACTGTATGAAATAATAGAGAGAGAGAAATTTTTATCCGGGATATTTTCGTTGTTAGGGAGGGGGGGAGGGTTTGCTTTGTTTTTCTCAGCTCTCAGCTGATTGAATCCCGCACCCATATATTATTAAGATTAGCTGTTTGGAAACCCGAAACGCGTGGCGCAGGGTTCCCGCTTCCGAACCTGGTTTTATTACGTCAAATCTGACCTCCCCTTCGGGCAAAGTCGAGAGGACTGGAAGCGAGACGTTGGGTCACTCGGGTCGAGAACCCCGGAAAACCAAATAAAATAAAGCTCGCCTCACGTCATTGCCGTAACGACCGGAACCAGAGTCTCGACGAGAAAGTGGACAGAACGTTACCGATGTCAAAGTGCGATGCTGTTTTATTTTCTTTTCTTTTTTATGCTCTTGCCACAATGGGAATTACACTGGCGTGAAATCCACGACAAAGCGTCATTGAGAGCGTTTTTCTTCTGAGAGGGCTCTTGAATACACGAACGCAACAAAAGAGCAAAGCGCTTTTCCTCCAAGAAGAAATTGCATCACGACGTCGTTGAGATTTCAAGACAGTTTCAGCGTTTCTTTTCCGGCTTTCGGGTAAAGGGGCTTTTTCAAGGACTTTCGCTTGCACGAGTTTTTTTTGCGTCTTCCGTCAACCGAGTCTCGGGTGGTAATCTACATAAATAAGATTGGCACACCTTGAAGAGGTACTGAGATAGGAAGCCTTCGGGTTTCTCGGTCTGGAGGAATTAACGCGCCGAATAAAAACAACGCCAACTCGGTCGTAAAAGATTTTAAACGCAATCTGAGCATGAAGATCTGCTGCGAAGAAGATCTCACGGGTGTCAAAAATAAATGCTTGCGATTTCATGCTCGTTCCAATTCTCAGATTTAGGATTTCGCAATGCTATTTTTTCGTTGAATTTATACAGGGCACTGCATTCGAAATCGTTTTGAGGATTTTTCGATTGCCCAAAAGTCAAATTACTCGGCGCAATTTTGTCAAAGACAGCAGTTGCGTCATGTTCTAACAACTTATATAAGATTTCCAAGAATAATTCCATACTACACGTATAAAGGAACAATCTCAGTTCTTCGAAATTATCACGGAAGCACGGGTGAAAGTTACAGTGTTTGCTTTGCTCCACCAGATTTATAACGGAGTGGTTTTTCATGATTACAAATGAACGATCCTTCGTCATTTTTGTCGGTCTTAGCTTATATATTGTACCCACATCATCGTAGTCATTTTGGATGCATGTTTCTGCTCGTAATTTTCTTTCAACGACGATACTTGACAATTTCTTTTCTACTGATCGGACATTTTCATCCCATTTTTAAATGTAGAAAAACGAGAGAGAAGAAAATGAACGGCATCAGTGCGATAAAATAAGGTTTACACACCACAGTTGCGTTTTTTTTAATTAATTTTGAAAGTAGTTCAAGTTATACTGTATAATACTGTATATTTAAAATATTAAAAACTGTGATGAAATCTTCGTAGTGATCATTGTCCTAGATCTTACAACAGTGATGTGCTGATGAAAAATGTTTGTCATAGTTGAACGTGATTTCAGCCTGAAAAAGGGAAAGTACTGAGCAAAAATTTGTCAATTTCAGAGATGCCTTAAAAATATTCTAAAAATTAGCAGAAGCTTGAATGAAGTCTCGTTATTGATCCCATAATTTTTCGGAGAATTCTGATCTAGAAAATAATAAATTTTAGAACATGATTTCAATGCACTGACAGCACTTTTGAACGATTCTTCTTAAGAATAACGTCGACAATAAAGATTCAAGGATATTCCCCAAATAAAGAAAAATAATAAATTTATGCGTGGGTGTCTTTTCCTTTTCGTGTATTTTTTGTGGGCATTAGTTTACTCGTGTGTTTGTGGGGGGTTTTTTTTTCTCGCTTGCTGGGGTAAGATTGTGAGGAATCATAAAAAGAAACTTGAGATGAACCATCTTAGTGGTATCCAGGAAGAAGATTTCTTCACATTCACGATTCACGGAATACTTTCAGAAACTCGCGGCTTTCCCTTCCGGTGTACTTTAATGGACACGGAAACCAAACAGAAAAAAAAGGGAGGAAATACTGTACTTCGGAAGAGAGACGCGCAGGTTCGGCCCAATGCACAGTAGGGGATTACTTGAGTATGATGACCCGGGTGCGGAAGCATTAACTTCCGATTCACCACACCAGAAAAAGCACATGAAACGTGAAGATGAGTGAACGGAGGAAAAGGAAGGAACTTATTTCCATTTTATTTTATTTTTCTCCTCCATTGGCTTCCAGGCAAATCTCAGATGCGTAAAGGCAGAAGATTTCGTGTTTTTTTCTTTCCAGCACTATTTATTTTTCCCTCGCCTTGGAAATTTTCCTCGAATAATTCGCGAGGTACTTCCGCGTGACTTGTCCTAGGTACGACGAATCCTTTTTCTTCGAATGGCTGTCAGTGCAGTTGGGCAATTTCCGTGTGCCGAAAGCTCACAAGCCAGGTTTTGTTTGTTTTTTTACTTGTCTTGATTAGCTTTGCGTTACGCTTCAGTCGCTCATTATCTCCTAATTAAACACCGGCGATAATTAAACAGTGGTATCAGTGAGTCAAATAAAGCGGATAAAAGGGGCTTTCAGACATCAAGGACCAGACTAACTGCAAATTTAAAAATATGAAGGCATCTCACGCTTTAATATCGCTAGCTTTCGACTAAAGCTGAACCAATCCACTATTTGCTGAATCTTGGAACCAGAAGCATTACTAAACTAATCAAGAATCCGAAATAATTTTCTGTGCCCGATGTTTTGTTGATTTCAAGTCGTCTGAAAAGTTTCTGCTCTTGGAGATGCACATGATGCTGGCTGCAGTTTTATTTTATTGTTCTGGAATGCAATTTTCGAAATTTTCGAATACCTGTGGTTTTCTTTTTAATCTTCGCGACAAAATAGCATCTTATGTATATTTTTCCCAAGCTATATTGGTGTTTCCTGCAATCAATAAGAAAAGTTTCTCTACATGATGCTGATCTCCTAATTAAAAAAATATCTGTTAGCTTTTTTTTTTATCAGAAAAAATGCTGGGAGAATGCTTGAAAATTGCTAGTTGCATGTTGAGTAAACGGGAAAAATAATTGAAAAAATCCAACAAAATTAGCAGAATTAATTCTACTACTAATGCAACGGGATATTTCCAAAAAATACTGTCATTGCTGTAAAAGGATGCCAACAATTCACTCATCTCACTAATGTTCAGAGATAAGATTTGTTTTTCCGAAAATTTGAAAGCCTGCCTCTAATTTTCAGCACATCTGCATGGAATCCCATAGCTGTGTAAAAAATGAGAGAAGTTTTCTGAAATTCAAACAATTTTAGCTGTCCGGATGTTATCAGCATTATTCCCACCCCATTTTCCTCTGACATTCAGTTTTGTCTTCCTAAATGTATCTCGAGTAAACATTCGAAATGGCAGAGGGTCGCGTGATTCACACTGCTGAATAATTCGCATAAAAACACAAACGAAAAAGCAAGAGCTGTTTTCTGATGTTCCTTAGATGGACAGCCGAAAAAAAAAAATTATTTTGCATTCGGCTCAAGGATATGTTACTTTATAATGACTATTTTCTTCTATGGATAATTTCACACCGACCACTGATGAAAATTAGTTTTGCTATTGTACTGTATAAGGAAATCCATATATTGGCGTTCGAAACCTTGAAAGTACCCTGTGATTTAGTGTAGAGGAATAATTTTCAAGAGATGCAGCCATTTTCGCGATGGAAGCATTGACGGATAAGCAAACGGCTTCTTTTACTTTTCCATTTTTACTTCAGAAATGTCCGTCAATTTTTGAGACCTCGAGGGTATCAAAAAAATCGAAATAAGAATAATTGCAGACGTTTCGATCAGTTCTTCGAATCTTATCTAATCCGGACGATTTTTCAATATTATCCAGAGCTCTTGTGAAAAGAAGTTTTTCAGTCGATTTTGAGTGAAATGTCGGCCTTCGAAGCGGCTTAATTGATTTTTGAAAGACGCAATTCAATTTCACTTAATCGATGATATTGATATGATATCATATCACGTTTTCCTGAGAATGAAATTTCTCGCGTCATGTATTCGTTGTGCTGCTCAATGAGATATTTTTTCTGTTTATGTGTCTAAAGCGTTTGCGTTAGTACGAAAATGTACTTAATTGCAGAAGAACTGATCATATCAAGAGTATTAAATCCTTTAAAGAAAGAGAGAGAGAGAGAGAGAGAGAGAGAGAGAGNAGAGAGAGAGAGAGAGAGAGAGAGAGAGAGAGAGAGAGAGAGAGAGAGAGAGAGAAAAAAGACATCGTTAAGGCATTAGTTTATGAATGCCCATCATAAACCATGAGGTCTTTTACTTTTTTTTCTGATCGTTGAACTCGTGAACAAAAATTCTATACTTTACCAGCGTTCACTAAATTGCTCTTTCATTTACGGAGCCGTTGAGAAATGGCAAAACTGCTGCGTGACTGTAATCTAATTGATGTAAAATCAACTATTGTTTATCTTTTAAATCAAATCAGATCGAATGTCAGCTTCATCAAATGTTCACAAATTCCTTCTAATATCAACAGTTCGATCCAGAGGATTACTTAATACTTGACGTTTCCGTGCTTCTACGAGTTTATAATTTCAACTGACTTTGGTTATGGACAAATTCTTTTAATTTATGCTTCACAGAATTTTCAGAACGCATGCGATTATATTCAGGACGCAGCCAAAGTTTTTTTTTTATTATAGATAAACGGGTTTCTCATGAATCAATCATAAAATCATCGACTTCAGCTCCCAAAAGCTGTACTTCGAAAGTCTTGTAATGAATCATTGATCCCGACAGATAAAATCATTGTGTAACAAATCCAATCAACAACCCGAAAATCCGCTCATTGCGAAGGTTGCCCCAAACGCGGCGATCCTAGAGACCTCGACGATCCACAATTACTTCGAATAAGTACTTCGATGGCACTGAAAATTAATACTTACATTGGTAAACGCGTTTAATTAAAATTTCGCAATGAACTTCGACTGACTCAATACGCTCGGAATACGAGTTGTCGACAATGATTTTACACATACGCAATTAAGATATTTGAAAAATTCCGAGAAAAGCTGGAATTTGATGAAGATTTTATTTCTTCAAACTTTTGCTTTTCTCGAAAGAAAATCGAAATGAATGTTAATTTTCACGAAAGACCAGCAGAAGCTTTATTTGATTAATTTGTCGCCAAAATAATTTCACTTTTCAGATACCCACGAAACGTGTCTAAATGTTTTTTTTAATGCGTAAATATGCTTTCCTATTTGATTTTCCCCTTTCTGGTTCTAAAATAGTATCGACAACTGTATATTTTCCATCACAAGTTTAGGAAACAATACTAGAATACTATAGTCCTTACTTTTAAACTCATTTATCCAGATATGAGTAGCTTTTTTTCGTTTTTCATCAACCTATTTTCAAATTTAATGAAGTTCTCGCAAGCATTTTTGAAAATAGACATAGAAGAGCTTGAAATATGTTTCCTTTTTCTCCTCCGGAAGTCAGTCAAGAGTGGCGAGAAATGTTAAAATAACTCCCTCAGACAACGAAACTAAATTTTACTTCTGTGAAATACTCGACACAGGATATAAAAAATTCTTCATCAGCCATGTTTTTGCCTATCACTTCAGCCAAGTCCCAATTATATTGAAGTCAAAATTTTTTTTCATCAATGGTTATGAAGGTTGAGGTAACAGTTTTCTGAATTTCGATTAAACTTTCATTGGTGTCGGTAACCCGGTTTTGGAGAGACGAGGGTATTACCTTAAGGCAGTCTCGCCATTTGATCAGAAAATCCTAAAAATATTGATTTATATGAAAGGCCAGACCATTTCTTTGAGTAATTTTTTAATTCGTAAAAAGAAATGTTCCTGCTTTCTCAAGGTTTTCTCCACTCCTCCAGAATCGCGCAAAATGAGCACAGTATACTTGTTTTGTCAGATTAAAAAAAAATATTTCTGATCTTGGAAAAAGTTTATCAAGCAGCCCTGATATTTCTCGCTGAATGAAGAAGTTTGTGTGACTGGAGGGATTTTCAAACTTGGAAAAAACATCCCGTATTTTCAGTAAATAGGACTCAAATTCCTGGAATTCATATGATTTTTATTCTCCCAGTTGCAGGTGGAAATTACGACGCGAAAATTCACCCGAAAGGTTGGAAAACGTTGTGACACAAGGCTTGTGCTTCCGTTTGCGAGAATATTTACTAACCCGTTTTTCGTAAATTTTGTCTTTCTTTTTTGCCTTTCGAAATATATATATATATACTGTATATATATTTTCGTCGAAAGATAGCTCCCCGGATTGTGGGGAGATGCGTGTGAAAGCGACGCATGTCATCTGTGCAGTCCCAATAAATCCGTGCAAACAAAATCAGCGCTGCTTGGTGAGGGCTTGAGGCTTTCTTCACTGATGCGAACTTGTTCCTGCTCATCAACGCCAAAACCACACGCAAAATTCAATTACTGCGAGGCCTGCCCTTTGTCTTCGCTAGACACTCACTGATTTCTGAAGAAAAATCGTCATGGCTTCGAGGATGCGGTGAGTGACGTATTTTTCTTGGTTTGTTGATAGTGGAAGATTTTCACGAATCCCAAATATTTAGAACAACGTAAAAATGACATTTTAGAAAGAAACGGCGTCAGTTTATTCTCGCGTCGAGATTGATTGTTGCAACAAAATGAAATTAATTTTTCCCGAGTATTGCTGTCGAAAAGATGAGAAATTAAAGCTGCCGGGATTTCTTGCGAAGGAAGCATATGTTATGCAAAATTATATAAATCAATTTACAAAAACGGACATTTTCGTAAAAACAAAAAAGGAGACCCATTTTGAAGGTCCGTACAGACAATTATACTTGGAATGTATTTTTAATCCACGAATTTCATCGACTTCACGGTTGTTCGGTTCAATTCATAATTTCCTTCCTCTTTCGTTTGTATCCCCGACAAATGAATGAGTGCAAAGCCATTCAGCAAGATTCAATTATTTCTTTTGTTGATCGACCAGCCACAAATACCTTGGTGTATCGGTTAATGGACTCATTTCGCTACAGGGGAGAACTCATTATATTTAGGCTATCGACAATATAATGCAAGGTCATATATGAAATGGCCAATTGGTTACAGAACGCCAAAAAACCAATTAACTGAGCGATGTGAAACTGAATACTGCACTGTAATGCAAAAAATGCCGAGTCGTTCGCGATATCGCGAAATTTCCTTCATAAATTCTTGATTGAATATCATACAATCGTAAAATATCCTTAAAATAGCATGAGCACTTAGAATCGAAAAAAACAAGGCTCGACACGATCAATGGTATCAAAATATGTTGTTTACTTGAAAAAGGATCCTTAGTGCCGGCCAAATTTCTAGAAATAACTTTTATTATTTTAAAAGAACGCCTGCTTTTTCTGCAGTCGATTAATCAGCAGGGTGCACTATTCGAAGCGAAAATTGGCTGCAGTAGTCTGAGTCCAATTGCATAAAATATATTCTTCAAAAGATAAGCTGTCCGGTGCATCGATTAAATTATCATTCACGGCGGAAGATGAGTACAGTACTGACATGTACAGTTAAATGCCAGCAAATAATTTCAAAATATAGCATAGCATTTTCCAAAATCCGAGAAAATCAATTACGAAGTTTCTCGAAATAAGTTATTTGATAAAACCGTTTTGTCCATCGAACATATTTGTCACAACGTTAAAATCGGTCAGGAGTATTATTTTTTTAATAAACTAGCACGCGGGGTTTAGTGGTACAGTATTGTACAACAACTTGGAGTAAGACACACTTTTCTAAGCATAAATTGGACATTTTAAAAACAAAAATGGCCTAAATTTGAAAAGGCTAACCTGCTCAGCAAACATTTTAATAGACCCAAAAAGGCGAGAAAATTGTGCGAGACACATCATCGATGCTTCATTCTGTGTAGCAAGAAGGATGCTTAATCCAGGAAAATGAAAGTACCCTAAAAGGGAACAGAATAAATTTAATTCTTGGAATTCAGGACCATATGAAAAGATCAAGGAGTATATACCTAACAGATAATGTAGGAATGGACTAGAGTTACTATAGACAGAACTGTGCCTTTAACTCACGGTGAACGTCATAAAAATAATGAAGCATAAAGTTAGAATTCGCTCCAAAAAATGGGCCAGGCTTCACGATTCAGAAAGATTATCTGGCGCCTAGTTTCCGCCAAATCGAAAGAAAATGGCAAGCACTTTAATTTTTGATGGCGACCTAAATGCGTCAATGTTTCTCGTTTCAAGCCAGAAGACTCGAAGAGTCCTTGAGCTTGACGAGTTCAAGTACTTCCCGCCTAGGTGAACTGGAACTGAAGGACGTAACGAAATTCATAACGCTGCCCAAACCGTTTCTATAATTCAGTGTCTTTAGAAAATGTGTTCTTTCAATCCATCATGAAATACAGTACAAACTTTCGCCGCAAGGCCACGAATCAAATTGAGCCCACGCCCTTCTTTTTCACGCCCTCGGGGTGGTACAATATACCGAACAGTATTTTGTGTTTTATTTAGACATCTACGAGGTTGAAAGCCAGAAATCCCAAGTACAAGCACTGTGGTGCGATTCAGCGCTGATTTTTTCCATTTCTAACCGTCCAAGGTCATTTCCTTCCGAAAATACCGTTTCGTCCCGAAATGAAATCGAAAAACTCAAAAATTCATCAAGAACCCACTATCAGGGTATAAGTCTTATTTTCAGACGAAACTAGAAAAAAATACCGTTTGAATGCCTTTTGGACACGTCGGAGTTGAAGGCTGGGATCTTGAAGGTCAACATAACTGCAGATCGGTGGCAAAAATAATTATCTGAATAAAAGCGAGAGAATTAAGAGGGGGAAAAAACACTGTCAGCTTGGCGACTTCCTGTCATTATAAATGACGACGAAGGGAGAAAGACTGATTTTAAAACTCTTTTATTTTCAGGTTTCATATTTTACAGGCAATGTACTTGAAAATCGTATCGCCATTTTTGAAAAACTGAGTCTTACGATACAAGAAATTATTATACTGTATATACTTGTATACAACTGAAATATTCAAAAGACTTGATACGTGCCATGAAAGCTGCTTAGAATTTAAAATTATCTCACTCCGACAATTTTTTAGTCATCACATGCAGGTTATTCCTTCGGGAGAAGATCAGCGAAAAATTATTTGAAACGGATGGTCAAGCCACATTTTATACCGAATTTTCGTCAATATTCCTCGTATCCAAATTTCAAAATGACTGCAAATAGCCTCTCAGAATAAACTATGTAAAACAATCAACGCCGTCTGTGAACATGCCGCATTTCCACCCACTGAACCAGAATTTATTCACTGTGTTCTCAGAACCATGCAATATTTGACGAAGTGCGGCGAATGTTCTCGTTTAGGTGTCCAAAATTTGCGCAATTGCGGTCCTTTCTTACGGCAACTAAAATATGCCATTTCATTCAGGATAAGTCACAGCTTCTGTCCTACGGATTTCGAATGAACAACTGCGATTAGAATCAAAATGACGAATAAAAGGACCATTAAACTTTCTTATTGTGGCTGAAAATGCGTTTAATAAGCCTGCTATAATCTTTGCGAAAGACTAATGGTGAATTAAAAGCTCGTGAATGTTGTGTTCTTTACCCATTAAAAAGACTTGTGTAAATATAAACATCCGGATTTTTATGGACATTATGGTGAAAGTGGCTTCGATCTTCATTCCAATCTTACATCCTCAATACTGGCTTCTAATTACAAGATAAATAGCAAATAAGATGGGTATATTTTTCAAAACTATCATTATAAAACTCTTCCCAGAACTTTCTTGCTTGTTCGCTGAATTGAAACGATGAGGTAAGAAAATTTAAGATATTGCCGGCTTTTTTCTCATTTTATTTTGTGAGCAAATCTAGCATGCATGCTGTGTACTTCTGAAAGTAACCAATTCTTCCAACAGCATGAAAAAATCTTATAAAGGTGCGTTTTATTCACTAAAATATCATTGGAAACGTAAATATTTTCTGAAGGAAACAAAGTTCTCTTCACTTCCAGTTGCGAAGCCAAAGTCATTACTTGTACACGATGTCTCTTCTTTATTTGTACCTAGTTACCCAAAAAGATTTGTAGCCCTAGGGCAAAACGTAATAAATATGCTTACGTACGGCTTTTGGGGTCATTTTATCGATTCTGTCCACGGGCAGGGTTTTTATTTAAAGACGGCTTGACGAGATATTATATCCTTCAGAAGACAGCAGATAATGCTAGTAAAAAGTTTAAAGACATCCTCTTCAACTAACGCAGTTCCTGGGGATTTTAGTAGAAAAATTTTTTAGTACTTTAGTTGAGTGCTGTATTGCAAATAATTTTGTCTACTGCACTGCTGAGCATAATAGTGGTAACAAATCGAATCAAAAATGAGGATTTTTGTCGAGAAATGTCTCCATTAGACAAGGTATACGGGCACAAAAAGATTGTTTCCCAACCTTTTTGGGCCCGCAGACCGACAAATTTCCATCAAGATTTTTGCGGACCGGCAAATTTCTAAAAAAAAAATGGGACTGACAAAGTTTCAGAAAATGTTTGCATATTTAAAAAAGTTTTTGTTGAAAGACATTGAGGCAGGTGTTAAAAAAGTTTCTGCTTCTTTCAAAAAATAAGTCAAGAACCAATGGAAGTGGCTTTAGTGGAATGTCTTCAAAATATTCTAAATATGGGCTTGAAGAAAATTTTCTCGGAATTAAAAATTAAAATAAATTATTCGAGCTGGTGAAAATTTGTCTGATGCTTTATTAGCCAAGCGGTCAACTTTTATTTGTTATCAGATAATTTCACCTGCCATGGTCTCTCCGTAATTTTAGAGAAAGATAACAAACGTCATTGCTACTTTCAATCAATTTATTTTGATGAAGAAAATTTCCCGCGGACTGGAAAAAAAAACATCTACGGACCACATGCTCAAACTCCAAAAAAAAATACAATCACCTCATTGCTTTCCTCCTGAATGCAAAACCATAAGAAATTCTGTTTCTCATCCTACAAGGTTCAAAAATGAAAATAAAATTTGGGATGACGACCTGTTATTAAGATCTGCAAATGCTGCTCTCGTCCAACTCAGCACTTCTGTCGCCGGTCGGTAGATATGGTGCGTTCTTTAAGCGCTCAATGTTTGGTAGAGAAAAAAAAATCTTTACCCTTTCGGAGGAAAATAAAATAGGCTAGAGTAAAAAAAAAAAAACATTTTTTCCACCTCACGTCGGCGATAAATGATGCAAGACCCCCACGTGCCGCCCAAACGGCGCTGCGCAGCTTTATGAAGTCCGCCTCTCGGGCATCGTCCTCCTGCCCGACTCCCCCCCCCCTGCGGCCAACTACCCACACATACCAGGGATTATTCCATAAGTTTTGGGACTCAGGCCCTTGACATCACCGACTAGTTTACCCCATTTTATCGTAGCATCATGAACTTGAACGAAAAATACTGCTCTTCCCACTCAGCAGCACTGAATGCATACGAAAAGGCGAGCGAGAAATGTGTGGGTCTTTCCCTCGAGGAAGGTCACGTGCTCAAGTGCACTGAATCGGCCAAATTGAAACATTCATTTGAATTCAGATTTTAAAACAACTTATCACGGCTGTACGACATCTATCTCTTACTCCATTACACTGACTTCCTATTAAAAAAAATCTAACCCTTTAGGGTTAATAATTAAAACCCAGAGCATAAGTGAGCTGGTATTCTTGCATTTTAAAAAACAAAATATAGCGCTCAGAAATGCTGAAAGGTCCCCCACAAAACATTTATTAATTTTTTTAAAATCAGTTCGTTGACAAATGGATTTTACGATCGAGATATTTTCTTTGCCAGTTCGCGCCGATTTGGGTTTGAGAGCTGGAACAAAAAAAATTATTGATGCTTAGGAAGGTAAAAGTAAAGCATTTTACAATTGAAAATCTGTTGCCTGAGCTAGCTAATATTTCAGATGATGAGAATATTTCGGCCTGAAAATGGCTAATGCAATAACTGTTCATATTAATATGTACCCTGTGGCGGTAATTTTATCTTCAAAGTTGATTCCACTTTGGTCGCCACCCGTCAGTTCTTTTTTTTTTTAAAGAGCGTTTTTATATAGTTTTAGTCCCTGACTGGATGTTCGCGTACTTACGTTATCACTAGGTTGATTGCTTGGTAAGGAGAACTTAAAAACAAAACAAAACTCTTACATAATGAAGTAAGAAGGTCACGTCGCTCAGACATTTTCTCTTCTCTCTTTTTCGATCTCTACGCGTCTTTTTTTTTCTTTTTTTTAGTTCTAGGTTCCATTTATCAAATTTTTTTGCTGCTTCGGCGTGTGGACCTTATTAGCGCATATCTCAGGACTCGGGGATATTTATTTACCCCAGTGGGAAAGCGATGGGCGAGGCTGGGTGCTGCAATCCGGAATGTCGGACACGATGCATAGCATTCGGTTCAAACTGGGCCCTCAAAACTTCGACAAGCTTAAGTTGAAAAAATTACTTCTCATTTTGGCACCACTAAATTTTTTTTTCACTCTTAAGGGTGGCTAATTTTTGCAATCGACCAACGAGACCGGGAGAAAACAATGCGTTTCGCAACGCGAGGTGAAGTGAAATTTAGCGCACGAAAAAAATAAACTGGAACCTGAAACTTCCACACCTGTAATGTATATGCAGGTATTTTATTTTTAAAAGCAATCTACAAAAGATTAGGCTCATTTCACAAAATCGGTTTCCTGATTTAAAAGGACAATAAAACAATAAACCGAGCGTCAATGAATAATCGTTTAAGCGTTGCGATGATCAGTTTCGGAAAATTTATCTGTAAAGATGGGGTTGTGAACTATAAATTGTTCGTAAGTTTCTGTAGTGCCACTGAAATGAAGTTTCTTGGGGAAGTGAAATTCGGAGTCTTGAACCATCCAAATCCCTCTGGTATCGATTCCGAAAGAAAAATTCAGCAAATTTCCATTTCCGAGGATTTTCTTCAATTACTGCCCTGATTTGAGTCAGCTCTTGCTCAAAAATTCACATCCTTGGCGAACCATCTCATTTCACTTTCGTGATTCGAAAATTGGAGAAGTCATAATAATTTTGTCATTAAAAATGCATTTTCATTTAGGACATGGTCAAAAAGACAAATTTTCAATTATATTGAATACTGCAGTATTAATAAGTATTTCTTTGGGTTACACGAAAATTCCAGTGCGGACGGTGATAAGTGAACCTTATTTCCTTTGAAATTGCATCATGGAACGCAATTTGAGATTTATATTTCTTCACTCCATTTTATCCTGAGGAGCCAAGATCAGATAATTTGTCAGGAGCTGCCGTTCATATTTCAAAATGCAATGCTCGGCATGCAGACATAAATAAGTAAGCTGTGCCTAGGTTGTTCCCTTTGTATTCAGTCTTTTAGAACATTTGGTTGGTACCATTTCATGAAACATATTATTACTAATATTTCACGCCATATTTATACAAAAACCCGAGTTTCACGGTTTTTCATCAGTTGCCCGTGAGCGACGTATTCCTGGCGAACAACAAAAGTAAATCTTTTATCGATCCAAAAAAAATGAATAAAACATGAAAAACTGACGCTAGTTTTATTTTCATGATAAATGCTCGATAATATTTATTTTTTGCTTTTCTCACCTGCACTCCGAGACGGCCAGGAATTTTGTGAAAGTTTTACAAGCCATTTTCTCGGTTTATACCCGTTTCAAGTTGGACAGGCGAATCAAACGTACTCTTGTCCATATTTTCTGAAAATAATCTTCGCAAATTATATCAATTAATAGCTTCTAAAAGGTCGATGATGTCATTAAATCATCTTTAGTGAGTGTCGAAATGTGCAGATCGAAGAAATGCTTCACGTGAGCTTATTTTCTTCACGAACCGATGATCACCTCAATGAAGGATATGTATCATAAATTAGAGTAATATATGCACATTATTCTATGCATAGAAAGGTCATCCCTTGTCTATTCGAAGAATACTCGTAGAAGCAACGATAACTTGAGCAATAAAAATTTTAAAAAACGGGAACAGAAAATCCAGAATTCTCCACAAAAAATTGATGTACAGAAATATATTGCAAAAGCTTCGAAATTTTAAAAATTTCATGCGCAGGATTCCACAAATAATTCGGAAAGTAATCCACACAAAATTCGTGGTTTGATCAAGAGATGAAATGTTCTCCTTTTATCAGTATCGCAAAATAAAATTACAAAATTCAGGCGAAGGGCAGTGATCATGAATGGCATTGATTTCGACTTACGCCATTTTTAGCACAGTTCTTGCCTTGAGTTTGAATTGAAAAACGTTGCCAAACATAAAGCGATTTTCCGTCAATCAAAATGCATTGCTCCGACGAACTTTAAAACAAAACGGAATTTCAGCAAAAAATTCTGCTGCTAGGAATGACGTGACCCTGAAAATTCCCTATTCATTCAAATTTCAATCACCAAGATGCATGACCAAAATTCTAAAATTTCTTAGAAGTACTGAACACCGAAACAAAAAATCACCAGCAGAATTCTGATGAGATATTTTGATCTTGTTTATTATCAAACACAGAATAACCTCGGTGATCCGAACTACACATATTCATTTAGTCCACATAAAATAAAAGCAGCCTATCTACTTTTAATTTCAGCAACCTCATTTTCCTTCGATTGACTTGTGCTTTTGTAGATATTAATTTGAAAAAAAAAATTATAAGCAGAGTGATTAAATCCGACTTTTGCCTGACTGGAGGTTTCATGTCTTGAATTTTTTCACAAAAATGCCAGTAAACCCGGGGATAAGCTGCCAGTGACGTTCCAAATTATTTTTACAAGGTAACCAAATTATGCCGCGCTCTCCAAAAATAAACACGGACATCGAAGAAAAAGCTCACGAGATTCACGCCTCAAACAAACGTAAAGAGGTGCAGTATTTCCGAACCGTCTTTTGTGTAAATTATCTTCGTCATTACGCAGATATTCTTCAACCTTGGCTTTATACGCTGAAGCGGCGAATCCCTGGACGAGAAATAATTGTTTACCGCGATATTCGCCAGGACATGAGCTGGATTCGTATCACGCGAGGTTCGGAAGCAAAGTGGGCTTGAATGCAGGAACTCTAGACCAAGGCTACTCAGCTTATTACTACAGTAGTACCGAAATCGGTTTATATATATTTTTTCCAGTCGAGAACTTTAGAGCTCACGCGAACTAGGTAGAAAGGAGGCTTGGCTGTTAATTTTTGAATGGCAGTTCGAGGTCGATGTTGTATTACAGCACGAGTAAAGTGGGTTCAGGAGAGAACGTCATAAAACGTAAGGCCACTCCTTAAGGACCGTTAGATCGTCAAGGAAAGAACCCAACGTTAATACAGAACTCCGTGCTCCCATAACGGTTGATAATGTGCTTCTCTGCGCGGTTACGCATATGTTAAATGGTAGAACCTACGTAATCCCGGGGAATGACCTCTGATCGAATGATTGGATATCACGGACAAAATCAAATTGGAAAACTTCAAATGTGAGAAATTAAAAAAAAATCTAAACTGCTGACACGCACGCCAATCCCGTGCAAAGTGACTTATTTCCTGGATGCATTTTCTTTATAAAAAAAGAAGTTGATATCGAATATTTTACTTATTCTGGTTTCAATGACATTTTTGTCTTTTAATGTTTATGATTTCTTCGTGTTCATTAAAATTATGCATGGTTTTTTCACAAACGTAGAAAGAAATATTCAAATAAAATATTTCAGTGTATATTTAATCGGTAAAACTCAAGGCGTGCGAATAAGCAAATGTGCTGAATAACCCTGGAATTTATTCATTGGAAAAGCAACCGTCATTTTCAAGACATAAAAGAACCCCAGTTTTATGAAAAAAGTAATAACTGAATCTTTTGTAATAACAAAATAATAAAATGAGCGTCAAATGTTATCGGCTTGACCGTGTCGGAAAAGCTGTCGGATTCGCGTTAAGATTGTGTCTTACCGGCACTTTTCTGAGCGGAAGAAAAATTTAACTGGCTTGAGAATTACTTCGATAATATTCCTAGTGCAGTAGTGATGTCGCAAATAAAAGTTACTGCTGTAATAGAAGCTTTAAAATTTTGCCAAATACGTTTTCCAAGCAGATGGCTTCCACGGCTATACTTGAGGCGATAGAACCCCTCTGTCAAGGGTTTCATTACTCGATAAATACCGTATTTTTCAAACTGGAAATTTCGCATTTTCAACGCGTATGTGTACGGTAAATGAATTACCTCTTGATTAACCAAAAAGGAAGAGAAATGAAGGACTACCCGAACTTTTCAAACAAGTTTATTCAGGAATACCTTAAAACTTGTCCACTCCTCATGGGAACTACTGTGAGACTATATTTTCTGGCTGAACACAATCGAATCTTTCCCGAAAACAAAGTGCGCCAGCATGTGCTTTGTCTTGCGAAATACACCGGGTTGGATTACCCGACAAGGCGAAGCCGAAATCACCAGACCCCGGGTTTTGCGAAACGTCGAAAGCATGTCAGCAAGATTAAGCACAAGTGCGCAGTTCTTTCTAGTACAATATTATTTTTTTCTTTACCAAACAGAAATGTTGATGATAGGAGATACTTCTCCAGCCCAATTCAGCGAATTATCCTCTGAAGGATATTCGCGGACGGAAAATCTTTCTTGAGCATCGTCGCATTTTGTTTTGATAAAAATTTGAATTTAAAAAACTGATGGACTTGCTTCGAGGACTCAATACCTCGAACTGTAATTATTCAATTATTTGGAATTTTATAGCCAAAGGCAATTCGGACTGCCAAGGTTACTGACGAAAAAAGATTATCTCTCTCTCTCTCTCTCTCTCTTTCTTTCTGTAATATTTTCCCCAGTTACTTCAGCAGAAATTTTGAGAGCACAGAAACTTTGTTTTTTTTCAGATTGAAGCAAAGAAACCCGGTGAACTAGCTTGAAGGCATGCTGCCTCATTTTTTTTTATCCGTAATTATTCGGCAATTGGTCACGAAGAAGCAGAAAAATGAACAAGGCAGAAAAGTGGGTTACTCGAGTACCAATGTTGCCAAAGGAAAACTACATCAGATGATTGGCAAATTTTTCAAAATTGAGTTCAACAAAATCGCGAAATGCTGGTTTTTGCAACAGCGACGAAATTGACGGCCAAGTTCAATATAAGTGCTTATTGTTCTTTCGAGAAGGTGAACATTTTGTTTTAAATTATGAGATACACAATGCTTCAATCCAAAATCGCGGAAAATTATTCGGAGAAAATTTTAAAGCTCGTATAAATATTTTTCACATTTATAGTTACGAATTCTTGTGGGGGAAACCACGTGTGCTTGATTTGATGTACTGCATTTATTCGATTTAAAAATATATATACTGTATATATATATCTACAGATTATTCTGTAAAATTTTGTTGGACTTGCTATTCCAGCACTGCCTCCATTTTGGACAAGCGTACGTAAATTACATTTAATTTAAAAATATAGTGCATGCGATTTCACGGGTTAATTACATTCCTTTTTTCTGTTTGGGCTAGTCGCAGTTTACTTCTCTAGTTATCTGCTTTTTAAACTGGTGATTTCCCTGAAATATCTGCCAAAAATCAGCGCGCGACTTTTAATCGCATACCGGCGGTGGTAAGTCGAATTGATTCCTGTGAACCTGTATTCATTAGTTCCGAGATGAACTGCTGATTTGAGAAAAAAAAATTAGAAGACCGCAAAAGGATAAAAACCAACAAGTGACCGGAAACATTTTCCTGCATTTATTACAGTAGTTCCGACATGAACTGCTCTTTTGAGACACAAAAAAAATGAAAATACCCCATTAGTTCCCAAGGAAAAAACCACCAAGTGACCGAAAACAATTTCCTGCATTTATTACAGCAGTTTTGACATGAACTGCTAATTTGAGAAGAAAAAAATAATTAGAATGCCCCAAGGAGGGTTCCCAAGAAAAATTCTTTCAAGTGACCGACCGGGAGCTTTTTGAAATCGAAACCGTCGGGCTGTGGTCCTTTTCGCCTATTTTATAGTCCACCGCAAATAAGTAAATACAATAAGTTAATGTAAACGCAGCAGCGGAACACGAACGCGGTACGAACGATAACAGACGAAAAGCAGGCGACTACTATATAATAGAATATAATAACCATGAATAAGTCAAGCCCCTGACCACACAAATAAAAATTTAATAAAAAATAAATAAAAAAAAAATAAAAAAAATTAAAAGTGCGCAGAGGGCTTTCAGAGATACAGTACTCGCAAGTCGTCGTGACTGCCTTTGCCCCCCAGGCGAGTGCTTATGTACAAGACACTGAGTAAGAACGGCTGATTGCGCTTGTCTGAACTTGGCGTGAACCAGCCACCCCCCGTATCCGCGTGTGCGCATTCTGCGTTGACCGCTTGCGTGTGTCGTTGCTCTCGGGGGGCTTTGGATCCCGTCGTTGCCTGCCTGCACACACTAGATTGCGCAATTTTCTTCCTTTGTTCCTTCATTCATTAATTTTTTTTATTTTTCTATTTATTTTTTCTCGGTTCCTTATTCTCGCCATCGTTTGTTGTGCCGCAATTTCCGCTTGGCGCACCGGTAAATGCGTCACTCAGGCGTTGCTCTGGCTGTTGAGACGCGCGTGAGACGGTTCAACGCGTTCGTTCTCAGAAGTTGAACTTGAAAGAGAAAATTTCGGAGGGATCTCGAATAGTACAGTAGCTGGTGTCACTCAAATACGTGGCTGACTTCGCCACTATACCAGTCATCTCTAGTACAGTATACGCGGCCGGATCAGACGGGACTGTCAATACGGTTTTTATTTACTTACCGCATTTGATTTTTAATTAAATCAATAAATTTGAAGTGAAGCCCTGATCGAGATGGAAAAATGCAGTAAATACTTATCAGACTGTGCATAATGTTGGAATATCCGCATGTTGCATTACATTTTTATACAGACGTCAATGGAAACATTCCCATGGTTAAAAAACTATTGGAAAAAGTTCTCGAACAGTTTTATTAAGAATGTACTTTAAATTATTAGGATTTCGAAAATAACTGCGCAGAAGATAACTACGCAGAATCCTCCCTCTTATAGATAAAAATGAGTCCAAAAGGCAAAAAAGAGCAGATTTTGCGATACTGTACTTCGTACAGTTGATGAAACCCCCTTAAAAAAAGTATAGCAGAAAATTAATTTTATATGTAAATTAATCCAAGTAAATTTATGATGAGATATATTCTGACTGCAAGACAAGCCCATGGGTCAAATATGTTCAAGAGGTAGCAAAATTCTTGAGTTGCTTTTTTGCTTAATTTTGGCAGAGACCATACCTTGAAACATGGCCCAGATTTTAAGGGCGGATTATGCGGAGTTTAAAAATTTCCTTGCGTCAATTTTTCCACATATAGTTACAGTATTTTATTAGGTTTTTAGGTAACATTCTGAAATTTATGAAAAAGCTGAGGGAAATTGTAAAAAATGTGAGTTAATTTTTTGTTTTAAGAATTTGAGAAATTTCGAAAATGCAGAGCAAAAATTCAACATTACTTCAATGAGTTTCAAATCCAAATTTGTAG